ACCTCAACTGCTAGCAGAGCACCTCACCCTCCCTGATTGAACTAACCTCGTTATCTCCACACTGATATATACCTGCCTCTGGAGATTTCCATTACTTGCATCTGAAGAAGTGAGGTTCTTACCCACGAAAGCTTATGCTCCCAGTACTTCTGTTAGTCTCAAAGGTGCCACAGGACCCTCTGTTGCTTCCTCCAAACAGAATTACCCTACAAAGCCCAAAACTATCTTTCCCCTGTACTTCAAAAATTTCATATGTCTGTCATTTGCATCTATAAATCAAGTAGCTAAATGCCTAAATATTGTCTTAGTAATGCACCTAGAATTCACTGGAGGTGCAAATTAAATCCTTGGCTGAGGCACTTTTAAATATTTGGCCCAGAGGATAGAGGGAAAATGCTATACTGCAATTGTCAGAAGAACTGAATTTTCACTACCCACATGCTTGTTACTGTCTGAGGAGATAATGCAGTTTTTCATAAGACTTCACTGGGTGGTATTCTATGTATTTTCAGAAAAGGAAAGAAAAGAACGCTCACACAAATGACTAGGAGCTGGATTTTAAAGGTATATAGATACCTAGAGATGTAGATAGGTGCCTATATACTTTTGAAAATCCCACAGGGCACCTAACTACCACTGAAATAATAGATCTCTTAGTTATTAACATTAAACAATAGATAATGATTGAGGTTAATGAATAAACATGATTGCCAGTATTTACATTGAAGTGCTCTATATGTTTGCTGAGTAAATGGAGATTTGTTTATAGTTAAAATGTTGAAATATCACTAACAATAAATTATATGTTCTGTTTTAACAGGTAAATGTTTCATTTTAAGGGTCTGCCAAAGGTGGGAAAGTCTCTCAAAAGGTAAGGACTTTTTCAGAAATACTATATTAAAATGATCATGCCTTCTGACATATCTGTTAGAAACTGAAGAATGTTAATTCTGCGTTGACTATATGATTGATAGCTTTGTAGACCCAAAACAAAGAATATGTAGTATTTATTATCATAGGCTTTGGCTTGATGTTAGTTGTGCTGTGTTTAAAATAAAAAACAAGCTGTCATTCTTCTTTTCTTAGTAAGAATAATGGATTAACTTGATAGATTCAGAAAAAGTGCTTGCTGAATGGAAGTAAAATGTAGACAGCATGTAGCAGTTTGGTGACACTAGTTTTTGTGCGAGATTAAATAGATAGTAAAGAAAACTGCTAGGGACAATAAAATGTTCATGGTTTTGAACAAGAAGTTTTTTGTGGAATGTTGCAAGCTACCAATTTTATTTATGTTTGTTTATTTGTTTGTTTATTTAAAATGCGACTCTCATTCAGAAAAGGAAGACATAGAGACGTAAATCATCTGTCTTACTTTTACTACACTAATTGAGAAATACCATGCATTGGTGTTATACTCTCCCTCTGTCTTTTCCCTCTCCTCCACTTTCCCTCTCTCTCTCTCAAGATATTATTCAAACATTTAAAGTATAAGGCATTCATGGACAAATTTGATTCCAAAAGTTCTATTTCACATTGAGAATTCTTTAAATTTTAACAAAATATTTAAAACTGAAAAAAATCACCTGGATCCTTATCATGCCCAAATTCTTTGTTGTGGCTCTTCATGATTTTGGTGTGATCATTTCTCTTCTGTCATTCTCTTCTCCTTGAATTGGCAATATACAGGTATAGCAGTCAAGAAAATGGTATCGTAGAGACTTTACTGATAATCTTCCCAGCCTCCTAAAGGTACTAGTGCATGGGACAGCATTTTCTTCTGATTGGATGTAATTTAGCCAGGGAAGACAATTAAAGGGATTGTGGTCTGTAGTAAACTCTCTCCCTGAAACAGAATTGTTGACCAGAAAGAGAGAGCGAGAAAGAGCAACAATCTGACTTCTTGTTCACGTCAGGCCCACAAAATTTAGCAGTTGAGAAGAGGCTGAAGTCTCTCCTGTTAGCCAACAGTCTATCAGTAATGTGAGAGACAGAAATCCCCCTCAACTAGCTCTACAAGTCTGTGAAGCAGAGCAGGAGAGTGCTGTAGAAAGATCAGCCTATTCCATAGTCATTATCCTGCTTCCACAGCCATCTGGGCCGTGTGCTACCTGGAAAGAAACTAATTTCTGCTGCATCCTTAAATAAGTGGCTTCTTGTGCAATGAAGAAATAAACAATTCTAAAAATTGCATTGGTATAGGTTCCTGACCTGGATGGGTCTCCTAGTTCTATATGATTATTTGATCATGCTCTTTTGTTGTGTATATCTCTTTCTTGATCAGATTCCACTCTCCCAATCTCATATATTGACTATACCTCATCCTGGTGCGTGTTTGTGTGTTTGCAATGGTTTAGATTAATCATAATTTTAGATCTACTATAACTGAGTGGTTTCAAAATGCTCAAAGTGTGTTATAACTAATGAAAATAAAAATGCACGATTGGAAATTCTAGAAAAAATCGTAGTAATACAAGTGGGCTCATTTTTGTGCTGTGTGCCAGAGTCTCCCTCCCCCACAGGTCTTTTCATTATATAGAACATTTTTTTTTCCTTCTCAGATACTACAAATAGGCTTTGGTCTTGCTAGGAATTTAAACACAATATTGGCTGAGATGCTAAACAAAGTCAAAGAAAGAAAGAAAATAGCTTAGAAGTGATAAATGAGACTTTAGTTCCCTTTAAAGGAAGAGAGTGCTGTAGTTTAAGAGGGATCCTATCTGACATTACTGAAAATGAAAAAGACATAAAAGGACATGTGGTATGAGGTTGAGAAAATGCATGCCACCATCCTGACAGGCATAGCTAACCACAAAAAGAAATCTATTCAATGTAGGTAGTTCAGGAAAAAATAAAAAAACTAATGATACTGTAATCCTCTTGAAAACTTGTATTGCTTATTAAATAAGTCAGTACAGTAAGATAAGTAATAAGAAGTATTTAGTCTTGCAGTATTAGTTGATATTATATTGTGAGATAATTATGTTTCTCTTTCTTTTAATATAATGGTGACTACAGACGTTCACTGCAGTTGAGAAAATGTTCTATACATTATAAATTATTTTAGCCAGGACCAAATAATCGATGCCAGTCCTTGCTGTTGTACATATATGAGGCATTATATCATGACAAAACTGCTTCCCAAGTGTACAATATCTGTTTATTTTTTCAGTTTAGATTGTGAATTAAAATTATTTCCATAAAAACATATAAAGAACAGATATGCATCCTGTTACATACCGTATTTACAGAATGAAAACAGGTATTCAAAATTCTCACAAGACTACCTCAAAATATAAATATGTATATTTATGCTACATGTATTTGGTGGGAATTTGACCGATTTACTGTATTTAGTGGATCTAAGGTATGATAATATAAATATTTGGGAAATATATGCCTGTTTATTTGAATAGTTGTATAAATATGTATTTCTTGCAACAAACTTTCAAGCTTCACTGTTAAACCTACTATATTGAGCCTGATATTGAAGTATACTGTACTTCCAGGTTTGTTTGATCTTGGCAATTAAAAAAAAAAATGGAATCATAGATTTTCATGGTTCTTAAGCCATGAAAAAAAAATTGACAGGTCCCTGCCCTCAGAACCTCATAATGCAAGGGCTAGATTGAACCCAGCCCTATATAGAAACACAAAGGGATAATGGGAGGGAAAATTAAAGAAGCCTCCCCACCAGCCATCTAGGTGCTTGTGAGAGAGTTAAGCACAATATTGGCACTTGCTTTCTCCTTGAACAAAGATGCTATTGCTGAGAACAATGATAGAAACCCCAATAAAGGAGGGGTCAGGGAGGGCAAGTATGTGGTGGCTATGGCCCTGCTAGTTCCTTCACACCAGCCTGCCCAACAGAGCTTGGTATGCTTGGGAGCACAAACCACAGTCACTGAAAGGTCATTACAGCAGTCACCTTTTCTGCACACTCCTTCAACGCTTCTGGGGGCATTTATTACCAGGAGGTAACGCTAAGGCAAATGGTTGATTCACCAAATAAATGAAACAGTTATAAATGCAACAAAGCAATATCAGTTCTATGGAATAAGCCAGACTCTTTTCCAAGCAAATTTAACTAGCTCTCTCCACCTGCACTTTGTTTGCATGGGGGAGTTTGGATAAGCATGGGGAGGGGAGGCAATGATAGCATGGGGAGAGGAGGCTAGCCCATCACTATTATAACTATTTCCATGAGTATAGCAGCTGGGATAAGAGTAAAAAAAACAAAAAAATCAAAAATTTTTACCTTTTTATTTTTTAGAAAAAATCCAGTGGAAATTTCTAAAATCAAATACATTTCAACAATCTCTATTGCTGGTTGAAAATGCAAAACAATGCAGGAGATTATCACAGTTTAAATTTCCAATGAGAAATTTTATCAGGGAATCCAAATTCAAATAATTTTGACCAGTTCTACCGATGTGTAATACTTCTCAGGGCAGGAAAGAGTTGCACACTGGTAACCACTTTATTGCTGATTTAAGAACATTAGGCCAATATCCTACATCCTCTGCTAAAATGTGTGACAGGACTCACACAGCTCAGTCATGTTCGCCTTGTTGAGGTTCCTTGGAATCAGGGCTTTGGAGCAGAGCCCGGAGCTGGAGCGCAGAACAGTAGGTTTGTGCCCGGAGCTGGAGCGGAGCCGGAGCGGAGCAATTGAAAAAATTGATTGCTCCAAATTCCTGCTTGGAATGGGGTAAAGAGGTTGGTGAGAAAGCTGAGGGTGAAGCTTCTAAATCTGAGGATCTGCAATAAAGAAAGTTTTACAGTTCCAGGGTGACTTCTTGCATCCCCTCCACGGGCAACAGGACTCCTCAGGAAACAATGCTGCCATTGTCTTCACTACCTCTGTCTGGACAAACATCCTCTGCCCCCCATCTTAAGAGGTACAGAGCACAAGTTAGTGGATAAAAAACTACTTTCATGAGTAAGTGACTAAAGGTTGCAAAACCAGGTAAATGAGAAAAACAGAACATATGTTACATAAATTTGTAAATTTAGCAGCATGCCTGCATACAAAAATACCCATTTTTATTCTTGTCTGTAGCTGTGTTCAGCATTAAAAAGTGTTGTTTGTTGCCTGAAGAAACTTTATATTGAAGCCTTCAAACAGCATTCTTATTAGTAAAATCTGATGGAAGTGCAAATGCAGGCAAATTCAATAACTATTTATTTATGCCATGAATCATTGCCAAAGTTCCTGTACCCTAAAGGCACATATATTACGTACGAGAGTATTTCAGTTACTTATGATTTCTTCTCTGTGCATTTGCAAGAAATATTAATGCAAGGATATGCCATACACTTTATTTAAAACCTCATTTGTCAAGTTGGTGTGTTTGAAGTAGAAAATATACCATTCTAAACACATTCGTTTTGGGCTATATGAGTTATTCTATTTTTACAAGTTAGGAACAGTAGCTAGGGTGGGTAGCGCTAAAGGGTCAGTGTGATTTGGGAATTCAAAGAGGTTGGAGCTCTTGAGAGATTTTTAGAAGCACCTACGTGACTTAGGAGCCTAAGTTCCTTTGAAATTCAAGGATTTGTAATAAATCTATCAAATTGGGGGTACTACTATATGACTGGAGAATAGCAAAACTAATACCTGTATTAAGAATGAGGTGGGGGAAAAAAGATCTGGGCAACTACAGAACAATTAGTCTGACATCAATAGGCTTCAGAACTAATTTTGAAAGAAAGACAAACGGCATGTAGGTAAATGCAAAATGAGATAAAAGGCTACATGGGTTAACCAAAGGTATACCGGTATTTTGCCAGATTAACCTCATATCTTTCTTTAATCAGATAACTGATATTTTTTGACAAAGGAAATGCAGCCAATCTAATCTATCTGGACAT